AAAAAGGCAGCTGAGATTTTGATAGGGGTTGTGTTGACTCTGTAGCTCACTTGGGGAGTTTCACTATCTTAATAATATTCCACTAGTTACTAAGTCTACCAAGTAGGCACTCAGGGTCTCATCCTTCAAGCCCCACAGACCAAAATCCAGGGGTGAAAGTGTTTCTTTTCCTTGTTGAAGAAAGTGACACAGTGTAGTGTAGTATCTAATTTAAGGCTGGAGACATTGGATAAAACACTTAACTCCTGAATTTGTGAAATGGGATGCCTCTGGCACTGACCACACATATGGCAGACCTGGTTTTCCTTCATTCTGAGGGTGAGATGGAGATCCCTGAGATACTCCCATAACTGCCACCTCCATGCCTTGACAACTGTGGTGGGAACTGGGGACCCTTGTAGTCCCCTGGGGGCACCAGGTAGTGGTGGGAGTTTTGGAGTTAGGCCCCATTTTAACTTATTTTATCCATTGGGTGAAAGGTAGGATTTCATTTGAGCAAAGTATTCTGCTACTAAAGCAATTTTTGCTCCCCTCTTCCCCCCAATTCACTGGCATCATCATTTGAAGAATGGAATAAAAATAAGAAAGGAATAATATCACATATTACAAGTTTAGTTTACACCCCTACATGCACTTATGTGTTCCAGATGTAATGTTTTGGCACAAATCTGTGATTTTTTTTTCCCAAGGAAGAAGAAATAAAAAGCAAAGTGCCTACATTTGTATCACTAGGAATCTTGTTTTCCAAACTTAAGGAACAACCTGGGAAACTACATTTGAAACTTCAGACCCACTCATACCTCAGTGTACTCTCAGCTGGGGTGAGGAGCTCCCATTTAAAAAAAAAAATTGTGTGTGTATGTGTATGACTGCAGTTATTTATCAATGTTGTTTCAAAAAAAAAAATACAACAATTTAAAAAAGCATTAATTTGGGCTGAGTTTTTAGTTTGTTTCTGGAGAGAAAAAAGTTATATGCAATAGAAATTGTTTTGAAATCTTCAAAATCTAAGAACCTTTGGCTTAGCATATTCCCTTAAGCTGTTAGAACAAGCAGTTCATAGGGATTTTATTTCCAGCCTTTAGTGAGGGGTGTGTACACATGTGTGTGCGCATGGAAAGTTAGGGGAAAAACACAATGATATAACCCAACCCCAAAACAAGGAAGTGTGTTATCAAGCTGAGGTTTGGCACTTCAGTGCTTGCCCAGTCTCAGAAGGTGCAGCTTAGCTGACCTGTAACCTTTCTGTATGACACGTCTCCCAAGGGGGTGGGGAGGACTGTTTCTCTCCAGCATGGCTTTAAATTTACAAAAGCCCTGTGCAGTCTTGCAAACTCAAGTGGTTTTCTTAGCAAATCACTCACATTTCTTATGTTCTGGGCTGGGCAGGGCTTCATTAATCCTTGGCCAGCATCGTGAGTCAGAAAATATTTAAATGACTGCCTGAGTCCTTTTTAGGAGAGAGAATTGGCAAGTTAATTTAGGGAGGTACAGCAACTCAAGTAGCACTGCAGTAAATGAATGGCAAAATTGATACAAATGTTAGCAGCTCTGTCTTATTGTGATAATAAATAATAATAAAGAAAGTTAACATATTATCCTGTAGAGTGAGATAATAATGATGATGCTACCAAATTTTATTGAGCATTTATTATGTGGCAGAATCTGGTGGCTTCTCACACATGTTTTTCACTGTGACCCTTCTTAAAAAATAAATCTAGACTATAACCTGGTATATGTGTCTGTATGTGTATGTGTTGCATATCTGAAACAGAAATTTGGTGAAACAATAATAATGTCCTCTGATATTTCTTCATTAGTCTGTTTCGGCTTTTTTGTTTTTTATTTTCATTTTATTTAAAATTTTTTTATTGAAACATAATTGATTATATATATTTGTCGGTTACAGAGTTGAATATCAATACTTGTGTATAATATGTGATGATCAAATCAGGATAATTATTATATTCATCATTACAAAACACAATCACTATTTGTGACCCTTAAAACAGTTTTTTTGCTGATCCCCCGCCCCTTTCCTACCTCTAGTAACCACAGTTCTGTTCTCTCCTTTCGAAAGTTTAG